AAAAAATTTGTATGTGTAGCATTATCCGTAAGATTAAGCAAAGGATCTGTCTTGCAATTAATTAGGACTTGGAATTAACCAGAAATTAAAATGGAGGACTAATTTACACACGAAGAGGAATTTTTAGCCATTGTGCGATTCATCTGTGATCTCAAGCAGGATTTGAATAACAGAAAGTAAACTTACTACCCTATGAGATCACAGCTCTACACCATATGCAATCGCATAGGGTAAAGCGAAGAAATTTTTCCAGGATTTTTTGATTTCTTAGTTCGACTCAAAATTTACAAAGTAAACATCTTTGGACTCTTTTTTTTTTTTTAGGAATATTTTAGATTCTTATAAATAGTTTTCATCATTCAGTTTTTTGGGACATACAATCGGAGAGAGAAAAACACATCAATAGACAAAATTTTTATGTCGATAACCTTAGACCAATTAATCAAATATTGATTAATATATAATTGATCGAACACTACTTGCATACGCCTCTTTTATTTAGAAACAAAATGTTCCTGAAAATTTTTGCTCCCATTAGACCATTTGTCTATATGCATTAAGTCATCACTCTCGGCCTTCAAGGGAGGGTGATCTAAGGGACCCAGACTTTAGATGATTAGATCTCTTCTCTGTGGTGGTAGGTTTCTTTCATATGAAGATCAAGGAACAAAAATTAGGGTTTTCAAGATTTTGGGCTTAAATAAGAATATTCTTGGTGTAAGATTCTATTCTTTTCTTCGTTTTTGACTTGAAACCCGATAATAAACTCTATTCCTTTTAGTTATTTTCTTTTATTAGTATGAGTAGCTAAATCATCAGTTAAGACAAACGATATAATCTGTGTGATATTTTATTTAAATTTTCAAGATTCTCCTAGTTTAATTCTTCATGTGTTGGTTTTATCTATGAATTTTAATAATTTTAATTAATTGGCTACTAACTCAATCAATTGTGAATTTGTAACAAAACGAGAGGTAAGTTATAGCTTTTGACCTTACGGTAAAATTTGATAATTTGAATAAAACGGTAGAGATACTCTTTTATGGTTAACACGGTTATTAATATGATTCTTAGAGATTGAATGCATTTGGTTAAAATTAATTTGGATTCACATTGAGATATAATGAATTGACTTAGGTAAATATGATTGATTTGAACTTGAAATAGGTAAATTGATTAGTTTAGAAGAATTTGACTGAATAATACAATAGTAATGAATCTTGATATGTGATTGAAAATGATCACGAGATAAAATCGTAAATACTAATGCTCACATTCATACTTAAAAACCTAAATTCTAGTAAATTGTGTGTTTTTAGAAAAAATTAATATAATAAGATAATTTAGGTAATTAATTAAATAGTATTCTTCTTTTTTTTTTTTTTTTGTCAATAGGACTTAGAAATAGTAAATTAGGAATTAAATAATAGCATTCGTGAAAACAATCATTTAAACTCATAAAA